GTGTCATCCTGGACTCAGATTTGAACTTCAACGCCCATTTAAACAAAGTGACCAAAATAGCTTTCTTTCATCTCAGAAACATAGCGAAGGTACGACCATTCATAAATCAAAATGATGCAGAGAAGCTAATTCATGCTTTTATATCTAGCCGACTAGACTACTGCAATGCACTATTCACTGGTCTCCCCAAGAACACGATGAAAAGACTCCAGCTCATTCAAAACTCTGCAGCTAGACTACTAAGGAATACCAAAAGGAGGGAACACATTAGTCCTGTCTTAGCTACTCTACACTGGCTTCCTGTCACTTTTAGAATTGATTTGAAGGAGCTTCTCCTCACATACAAAGCTCTAAATGGACAAGGTGTAAAAAGAAAAGATTTAAAATCTCTTGGATTAAGTGTGTTATCCACCTCTGAAATAGGGGTTTGGTTTAGTTTGGGCGTAAAACTGTATTAGGGCATTACCAATCTAATACCTGACTGTGACAAACGGACACACAGGATGCAACATGACAGCTAAACATGCTTTCAGTTTGGGACTTTATGAATGCACATTTTTACAGTGTGAATAAACATTTGTAGAAATAAAATGACACACTGGAAGTTAAAAAGTAAGGAGGTAGTGGATGGAGAAACGGCACTGTGGCTAAGTTGTAAAGCGCCTGTGAAGAATGAGAGGAAACTACTGAGGACAGTATCTGAGAAAAACAAAAACTGTTGGAGCGGTGCTGTGGCTTAGCGGTAAAGCGCCTGTCTAGTACAGTGGTTCCCAAACGTTTTGGGCCCAAGGCACACCAAAGGACAAAAAAAAATCTCAAGGCACACCTATTTTGCAAAATAGCCCGTATAACACATGTTATCACTCATATCATGTAAAATATCTGTAAATGTGCATAATTAGTTACTAATGCCAAATAAAATGTGACAAAGACAACTATATTACTCATGAAATATTTATTAACGAAATATTTCAATTAATTTGAAACTTTATGAAATTAGGCTTCATCAAAGCAGCAACACACTCATTTAAACCAGACAGGTCACACAAAAAATGAGGCAAAGACTCAACAGAAATTCAGCACAGAGAACTGTCAATGCAAGGAAGCGGCACTGTCCATGGTCCTGAACTACAAATTATAAATATAACATTTCAGCAATCAGCATAGAAACATGTGCTATTGTAAATATTTTTGCCGATTTACAAATTAGTGAGATACATGTGCCTGTCGGGGCGCGCAGATTTTTTTAATCCTTGGTGGCACTGAGGAGAGGGCCACTCGCAAGTCCTGTTCAACAGAGAGCCGTGACCTCCTGTTGTTCTTCATGTAAACCAGAGTAGAGAACGCCAACTCACACAGGTAGGTCGTGGGAAAAAGAAGAAGTTGCTCAATCGCGTGGTGGGAGATGCTTGGGTACTCCGATGCAGAAGCCAACCAAAACTGATCCAGTGGGAGCTCACTAAATTTGAGTTTCAGTGTGCGGTCCACACGGAGCTCTGCGCACTCCTCTCTCCCTTTCATAGTGAGCTTTTCTGATGAGAGTTCCGGGTGGAATGGGTCTCGGATCCAGTCATAGTCCTCGATGTCAGCCACATGTGGAAAATAGCGGTCAAACCTCTCTTTTAAGGTCTGAAGGTGTTCGGCATATACAGCGCGCTCCCTTGCTGCCTGCCAGCGGGAACATGTCCATGGAGCCCTGTTCCAAAGCCTCGCGCCACAGGATAAGTTTGCCCATAAACCCCCGAATCTTGTCTGTGGATGTTAAAATGTTTTCATTCCTGCCCTGAAGCTTGGCGTTTAACTCGTTGAGATGCCCAAATATGTCAGCGAGGTAAGCCAGCCTGGCGCACCACCTCTCATCCGCGAGCTTGTCTTTATGTGGGACAGCGTGTTCACGTGAAAAATCCAAAAGCTCTTCCCGAAGCTCATAAAGACGGGATAGGACTTTCCCCCGTGACAGCCAACGTGGAGGATCAGGCTTTGGTGGTCGGCTCCCATCTCGGCGCACAGCTGGGAGAAGAGGCGAGATTTCAGGGGCCTTGATTTTATGTAATTCACCATCTGCACAGCCTGATTCAGCACCTCAGTCAACTCCAGGGGCATGGTTTTGGCAACTAATGCCTCTCTATGCAAAATGCAGTGGTTTGTCACGATATGTGGGTTTTGTGCTCTCACCTTAGCAATAAATCATTTCACTCTCCCCGTCATGCTTGCTGCACCATCTGTGCAAATACTGACGCACATATTCCAGGTCAGACTGTTCTCTTTTAAATAGTTATGAGTTACCCTGAATATTTCTTCTCCCGTAGTATGGCTTTCCATTTCTTTGCAGAAGAAAAACGTCTCTTTGATAGAGTCAGCATCAACATATCTGACGTTTGCCAGAAGTTGGGCAGCCCCACTTATGTCTGTAGATTCGTCTATTTGTAGGGAAAATCTGCCGCTCGCCTGCAGTTTCTCTGTCAATTGTTGCTCAATGTCTTCTGACATGTCGTCGATTCTTCTTTTGATGGTATTATCAGACGACGGCACTTTGGATAGCTCATTTGCGGCATCTGGACCCAGCATGATACCTACAATTTTTTTGCAAGCGGGGAGGATGAGTGTCTCCGCTATTGTGTGAGGTTTCTTCTGCTTTGCAATGAGCTCCGCTAGCATGTAACTAGCCTCCATTGCCTTTTCAGACACTTTCACACAATCCAACAAACGGTCTTGCTGCCTCTGGTTCAGATCCCACGCTCTTATGAAGTAGGCCAAGTTTCTCTGAACATGGAAGGGATGTTTGGTTTCCAAGTGCCTCTTCAGCTTGCTTGGAACCATGTTCGCATTAGCTAACTTCTCCCGACAGACGACGCACTCGGATTGTTGCCATCCCCGGTCCAACTGAAGCCATAAGACAGGTAACTGTCATGATACTGTCTGCTGACAGTTTTTTTCCTCTTTTTTTTCGGTGGTGGGTTTTCGGCAATCTCTGCACTGGTGGTTGGTGGTTTGCTCCGCACAAGAAAGCGCTCCATTTTCCCTCTTGCGTGTTTCTTTGTTTTAATGTTGTCCTTCAGCCTTCGGTGTGTCACGGTCGTATAATTCCCACCTGCAACTGCGTTACCTGCGAAATATGGGGTTCCGTGAGGATTTTTATTAAAATAATTGTTTTTAGGTATAGAGTTTGCCTCTGTATTATGAAATGAGTGCATACAAAGTACTGATATAGTAAATTAAAAAATAATTATTTTTGTGTAGTTGTATATTGCAATAATAATGTATGGTTGTCACAAAATCCCACAGCACACCCGGACTTGCCTCACGGCACACCAGTGTGCCGCGGCACACAGTTTGGGAACCACTGGTCTAGTAAACAGGAGATCCTGGGTTCAACTCCAAGCAGTGCCTCTTTGTTACAGAGAGCGTCTATTTAGATAAAGCTCTCATCGTTACCACGTTCAATTACATTCAATAGTAAATGTTTGGTAAGGTTTGTACTTGAAAATGACTTAGGTTATAGTTTACAGTTGACTGTTATCCACCTCTGAAGAAATGGTTTGGGTTAGTTTTTTTTTTTAAAGTTAGATTTTTTGAACTAGATTTATCTGATGCCCACTGGTAAATATCTATATAAGGAACTGTAATTGAGAAAATCATAATTTATAGAGGTTGGGTGTTCCTAAGAGCAACCGTTTTCACTTTCTACTGACAAATTAAAGCCTAAAAGAAAGACTCTCGAGCAGGGATGGGCAACTTGGATGGTGGGGGGGGTGCCACATCATTTATATGCTGGCCACCAGGGGGCCGCAGATTTACTTGGAACACACACACAAATTCCATGTATTGTGTGTAATTATTAACAAATATACTAAGTCTGACATCTTCATTGACATGTTTCAATCTTTCAGGGAACATCCTCTAATAAGCTCACGAAACAAATATCAGTTCACAGAAATGTTATTTAATTTTTACAAGTGGCATGTTTGTATTGAACAGGTTATTTAACAGTGGAATACAACTATTTTAAACTATTGGAAGCATGGAACATGCGTGTGCATTAAGATGAAACATTAAGATGACATCGTGTACGCAGTTTGCGACGTAACTAGGAGTCTAGTGGACGGTATCAGTACTACAAGTAAAACAAATATGTTTTACTTTTTTGATTAATTACGTTGTTTCTAAATTGATCTGAGGGCCGCAAAAAGAGGAAGTGGGGGCCAAATGCGCCCCCCGGACCGCCATTTGCCCATTCCTGCTCTAGAGCATAGGAGAGTGTTTGGTTATTATAACAGATACATTTAGAAAATTCAAGAGTAATGGCTATTGTTTTTGATATTACTGACATTTTGTGCTCCAGTGGCGCAATCGGTCAGCGCGCGGTACTTATAAGACAGTAACCTGCAGAGTGATGCAGAGGTTGTGAGTTCAAGTCTCACCTGGAGCAGAGAAGTTTTAACCTGCATTCAAAGGATATTATCTGAGTTAAACTACTTGGAGTGAAGCAGACGGAAAGAGTTTTTCGGTGCTCATTGAGTCATTCATTAAATCTCACAGGCCAAATATTGATGAATGTGACAGAAGCCATATGCATTGGACACACGGTAAATATGGTCATATGGCTTTGGTTTACTTTGGTTATAATAAATAAATTCAGGAGAGAGAATGAAAAGAAAACTATTGAGAGGCGCTGTAGCTTAGCGGTCAAAGCGGCTGTCTTGTAAACAGGAGATCCTGGGTCCAAATCCCAGCAGCGCCTCTTTGTTACAGACAATATCTCTTGAATTAGGTGTGTTATCCACCTCTGAAATAAGGGTTTAGTTTACTTTGGGCGTAAACTATATTAGGGCCATATTCCCCATCTATTACTTGACCATGACAGGATGCAACATTACAGCTCAACATATTGTTATTTTGGGACTTTATCAATACAATATTTAACAGCCTGAAAGAACATTTGTAGAGATACAGAGAAACAATGGAAGCTACAAAGTAAGGAGGTAGTAATAGTACAAAAAGGCGCTGTAGCTTAGTGGTAAAGCGCCTGTCTCGTAAACAGGAGGTCCTGGGTTCAATTCCCAGCAGTGCCTCTTTGATACCAAGATTATCTCTACATTACTGAATGCACTTTACTTTCAAAAAAAGTTAGTTTCACATCCCACCAGTCCACCTAATCACATCCAACAAGGAGCAGGTAAAAGTGGCCTCTTCATTATTCTTTCAAACAAAGTTACGTTTATATTCAGAGTTACTCACCCAAACTCATTGTGAGGATCTATAGGGTTTAAAAAAGAGTCACATCAATTTCCTTTTAGCAAAAAAACTGTTGCAAAGCTGAGTATTTTTGATCTAGTAGTTTTTCAATCTGCTATCTCACTGTATTTTTGCAACAGAAATTGTGGTGAAGGAGGTGCTGTAGCTTAGCGGTCAAATCGCCTGTCTTGTAAACACGAGATCCTGAGTCCAAATCCCAGCAGTGCCTCTGTGTTGCAGAAAATATCTCTTGAATTAGGTGTGTTATCCACCTCTGAGATAAGGGTTTGGTTTAGTTTGGGTGTAAACTATAATAGGGCATTACCAATCTAATACCTGACTTTGACAAACGGACAAACAGGATGCAACATGACAACTAAACATGTTTTCGATTTGGGACTTAATGACTGCACATTTTTACAGCATGAATAAACATTTGTTGAAATAAAATAACACACTGGAAGTTAAAAAGGTAAGGAGGTAGTGGATGGAGACACGGGTGCTTTGGCTAAGTTGTAAAGCGCCTGTGAAGAATGAGAGGAAACTACTGAGCACAGTATCTGAGAAAAACAGAAACTGTGATAGCGGTGCTGTGGCTTAACGGTAAAGCGCCTGTCTAGTAAACAGGAGATCCTGGGTTCAACTCCCAGCAGTGCCTCTTTGTTACAGAGAGCATCTATTTAGATAAAGCTCTTATCATTACCACGTTCAATTACATTCAATAGTAAATGTTTGGTAAGGTTTGTACTTGAAAACCACTTAGGTTATAGTTTAAAGTTGACTGTTATCCACCTCTGAAGAAATGGTTTGGGTTAGTTTGTGTTTATAAGTTAGATTTTTTAAACTAGATTTATCTGATGCCCACTGGTAAATATCTATATAAGGAACAGTAATTGAGAAAATCATAATTTATAGAGGTTGGGTGTTCCTAAAAGCAACCGTTTTCACTTTCTACTGACAAATGAAAGCCTAAAAGAAAGACTCTAGAGCAGGGATGGGCAACTTGGACAACACACTCTCACTCCCAACGCGTCCAGGAGCGACGCTTGGTCAGAATTCCGTGGCGTCCAGTTGTGACGCGCCAAGTCTCCATCAGCTTCATAAACGGATGCAAAGAGCTTCAACTGATTGCAATGTATTCCCATCGGCGGCGGTATTTGACGCTTAGGGAAGCACGGCATTCGTTTGTGTCGGCAGCTGTTAAAGGCAATGTGAGCGTCCATTCCCATTGGATAACGGAGAATTGTACACCCGGAAGTAAGTATTCTCCTCACTGTCGATTGATTTGACAGTGATATCTCCACTACTCATCCACTCAAAAACACCAGATTACCTTTGTTAATTAAACGACATTGATAGGTTTAAATTGTGTGCAATGCTTTTGTGTTTTTCCCCTTCAATTCTGAGACAACTTGTTTTCTCTGAAATGTGGAGCGCCAAAGAGACTACACTACCCACAATCCCCAGCTATTGTTAAAAAATTTTAGGGGAAGCCCATTTTTTTGGGTTGGTTGGGGGGGTCAATAACGTAACCAGATGAGTGATTACAGCGCCCGGTATCATTTTACACACATTTGTATCACACAGATGCAGGACTTGCACACGCCTGTTATCTAACCGACAGGTCCGCACGCACTCTCCAGCCGAAACTCTCGTTTTATTAATTTAAGCATTTTCTTATTAATTTATGCAGACACACCCCCCCCCAAATGCAATACCAGCCGCTCAATGCGCAGTGCATTCATTCACAAAGTAAATCGGGAGACCTTTAAAGTTTTACGTTCACATCAAAGTATCAGTAGGCGTGTATGAAACACATGAATTCAAAAACAATTTTGTACAGAAACATTTGCATGCAATAGTCCACCTTCTCTTCCCTTTCCTTTCTAACACACGGCAAGTGCAGCAACAGTCCTCGTCTCTGTAATTAGCTCAGTCCGTAGTCCAAAAGTGACTAAAAAATATAAACAATCTCATCTATTCAGGTGAAATCGCCAGCCGCCTCTGAAGGGAAGCCAGAAGCAGCTGGCTTCCCTTGGCATGGCCCTGACCAATCACAGGTTGGCAGGGGCATCACGTGGGCCTCATCTGATTGGTCAATCCCTCAATTTTTTTCACCAAGGGAAACCCAATCTGACTGGCCTCCTCTCGCAACAGTGAATGCAATCTACTGTTTCACCATAACATCTAGAGGGGCGCTGATTGTTTCACTCTTTGTAAAATACTCAATGAGAGTGGGGGAGAGACGGGCCGGCAGCAACACACAGCAAGGGAGAATTATCGAAACAAAACAAAGTGTTTTTATTTATTTATTTAAATTATAACTACAATCCGAAAAAACAGGGGAAGCCTGGCTTCCCTTGGCCTCCGGGAGAAAACGCCACTGCTACCATGAGACAACTCAAAATCAAGTTTCCAAAATCCGACACTGAGGTGGTCTTAACGCACCGGCAGATGACAGCGCTGCAGGGGCGGATCTACGGGGGGGCAAGGGGGGGCAGCTGCCCCCCCACTGTAGAGCATTGCCCCCCCAGCTGCCCCCCTAACTTTTGTTTCCCTAAAACTGTACTTGTAGAAACAAACCTACACTATGTCCACAAGCTTCTCAAGCAGTGAAACAAGCATTACATTAATTAAAAGTGAATCATTTTAAATATCATCTTAGGCCCGTTAAAAACGTAGCTACGGCCCTGCATTAAACTGCGGAGCGGCGTTCACACAGACCGCGGCTCACACCGCTGCAGAGAGGGAGCGAGCTGTCCCAGCACCTGAAGGTGGATCAGCTTCCCCTGGGAGCATTTCCCCTTCCACTAGTTTTGTTTTTAATAAGGGAGCTTGAAACAAAACTATTAATAAAACGCTGCCGTTTGAATCGATAGCGTTTAACAGACGGTCGCTGTTTGGGGCGTCACGTTACAAAATACTTCACAGACAGCGCTAGCTGGGAGATCGATCACTTTTATTTGCTAAACTATGCGGTACTATTAAATCCACGTAAATTACACATCACAGCAATGAGGCCAGATCAATGAAACCAGGATACATCCTTTACCGTCAAACTGGGTCTAAACACAGCTGCCTGTGTGCGTTTGATAAATACTTTCTGATGTTATATTTATGATATGCTACTTATTAGCTACATGGCCCTAACGTGTAAAGTTATACAAGCATTTGTACCAGTGCTTTTCACAAGTAGACTCTTGCAGGCCAGAGTAGCTAGAGTGAGTCAACAACAACACAAAGACATCTGAGAAGTGATGAGGATGAACAGATAGAGGAAAAGGAAAAGAGAGTACACTGAAGAGACCAGGAGGGTCAGAGCAGGAGGAAGAGGAGGAGATGAAGAGACCAGGAGGGTCAGAGCAGGAGGAAGCCAGGAGGAGATGAAGACATTAGTGAAGAAGAATAAATGTATGTGAGGAATACAGATGAAGTGTCAGAAAGAGGGACAGAGGCAGGGATCAGGAGGCAGAGGAGACTCCAGCTGGACCACATGGTATGTTCTTATTCTCCTTACATATTCCATCACAGCAGCACAATTTAGCAGCTCTTAGTATTGACAAATATGTATTGAAATGTGTTGCTGCACAGGTCCCCTTTAGCTCTCTGAAGAGATGGGTGATGTCATTTGTGTACTTATAACTAAGTACTTTGACTGTACTACAGTAATAAGCAGAATTCTGAGTATTCTCTGAATCGGGTGCCTTTTGGGTCTTTACATCTTTGAAAAATGAACCCAAAATGTTTGGTCATAACATCTGTTCGTGGACTAGTTACATTTTCCCACCTCAGGCACAAAGTATAAATAATTACTAGGAATTTCCTTGAAAAAATGTGACAGGGTTGAAGTTTTTGACAAAAAGTAGCCATGAGACCTTGTCTAGCTAAGATATGGCACCACATGGAAGTCAAGGACATTACAAAATTGTAATTTTTTGCAAAACTATTGTTTATTTTGTAATAAACAATTATTTACTTTTATTAATTCATACAACAGAGTTGAAATGTTGAGCTTGTCAATCTTAATCGGACAATACAAAAACTGAAATATAGGTAAGAGAAGAAACTGACACTTGCCTTTCTTTGCCATCTTTTCTTCAGAAGACTTTTGTGATGTAATTCCCTCAATGCAGATCACACATGGACTGATCCATTATTTTAATAGGAGGGTAAATGGTATGGCGTGACGGGGTTGAAACAAACTGAGGGACGTGTGTCAATATTGTAATTTCATAGATAATTCAAGTATTTATTCAGAATTTCTTTTTGATCAGTTAAAGTTGACAAGCATATGATTATATTAGCAGCAACATTTTGGGATGATTGGCCATTTTGATTTGTTTAATATTAAATTAATATGTAATAATGCTTAGTGAGGACATGCAAATATGTCTGTTCTCTACTACTAAGACAACCCATTTTTTAAAAACAAAATATATATATATTTAGTTTTACATTGTAATGCAAAACAACCTGTTCCATTAATTCATTGCTTTAAAATACATTTTGTAGTTTCCTTTTATTTAAAATGGTTGAAGTAAGCTTGGGGGACTCAAAGGGCACCTGATTGTTCATCTGAACACCTTGTTTCTCTTGTGCATTAAGAACACTTGTGTTAGGGCATGAATTAACAATAAATAGGTTATGTATAAAATACCACGTGCTGTCCGCCCTCCCATGCCACCCTGGCATGACCTCTTGCCCCCCCTTTGCCACCCCATGTAAAATGTTCTAGAACCGCCACTGCGTATATATAAGTGGATCATAGTGGATGATATTGGATGATAGCAGGTATGGATCACATCTGCTATCATCCTCCATGTCACTAGATGACGCT